CCTACAATATTTTTTGATACACCACTGCTAAACTGGGCATTTTAGATGCCATCTTCTGTGGAACTAGACCACAGGGGGATTCAGGAGTTACTTAGCTCTGGGCGGTTTACATATAAGCAATACCTCGACAAAGGTCTAGATGGATATAATCCAAACTGAGTAAGATCATCCCTGGAAAAGAGTGTGGAATTGGAAGTTGATGGGTGACTTTTAATTTTTACCCATAAACTTCTGAACTGTTAACATTTTTATGAAACATTTTTACATATTTATATAATTTTTAACTGATAACTACAAAAAAGCGTCACATGCTCATGTTAACTGCAGAAGAAGCAGTACTCCATCTCCTACATTGCAGATGCCACTTGATGGTGCAAGAGGAAAGCGTGGTCCTGGGCAAGGCTGTTCACAGCTCTGAGTGGGTTTCCAGTGACTGGGCTGCATGTTTAGGGGATTTGGATGGAGGGATGGAGTATGATTTGTGGAGCTACAGGTATGTAGATATTCAAAGGCAGCAGAGCAATCAAGATAACTTTCTGCTGATGTTCCAGGGTGAATCAACAGAGATTGCTTAGAAATACTATTCCCTGCTCTTGTTCATTCATTCATTTATGCATTCACCAAACATATTGTCTCCTATGCACCAGGCTTTGTGGAGTTCTTTTGAACAGTAGTTATTCCTCTCCCTATTTTTTTAATGTGTGTATTTTTTTAATGTGACGCAGATTATAAAAGTCCACCCCAAACCCCCCAGAGCTAGGAAAGCCATGGAGAAGGAAGTTGTAATGAGGATAAGCAACTTGCATTGGGGCTTGGATGCTCGTCCCACAAGGTTCACCTTCCTCTTGGAGATCTCTCACTTAACCACCAGGGCCAACCTAGGGAATATCTACCCACTTCAGGGGAGTCTTGGACTCTTCCTTCAGGCCTTTCCTTTATGGCCTCCAGAGGGTAAGCCTATCAGGTGAGAAAATGTAATCCATACAGTCCACCATGAGTTCGAGCCACTTGAATAGCTGTAGGGACATCTTTGGTGATGCTCCAGAGCACATATGATTTCACAATCTCTGCAACACCCAGTAAGATAAACTCTGAGTTTACATACAGCAATAATGCTACCATGAGAGCCTCATCATGGCCAAACTCTCTCTTCAGACTCATCAGAATGCAGGATAGAGGCAGCCCTCAACCCCAAGATCTCTAGCCTCAGATCCTGCTAACGTGCATGAAGAAGTTTATTCACAGCATTCTAGAAGGCATGAGGGTCCAAGGCTGGGATTTCACAGCTCAGACTGCTTGTTCATGTTCATGTAGATCTTTCCTCTCATTTAGAAGCAAAAGAAGAGAGAGGGGCAGAAAAGTTTCTAATAGAAAAACATAAACATGGACCAAAGAAATAGACAGGAAGTCACCATGAATTGCATTCAGAACTTTATTCTTGCCAAAGTTTGGGGGTTGCGCTAACTCTGGCAGGCTGCCTTGATAAAGAAGAAAAGTACAGAGGTAAAGGGGTAAGCTTTACATCACTGGGAATAAGAGGGAGGGGGCCAGAGGCTGGTGAAAGTTCCAGAAGTCAGAGCAGTGGTCAGTTCTGGAGTGGGGCTATCCTTCTGTTTAACAGCAGCAGTCGTCCTCATTGTCACAGCATGCAGGACCTCGGGACCTCATGGGGATAATTCCCAAACAGCAGCACCCAGAGCCACAGCAACAAGAGCTACAGCATCCGGAGCTGCAGCACCCAGAATCTTCACAGCAGCCAGATGATTCTGTGTTGCAATTTTGGGGCCTCTGGACCCAGCGTCTCAGGGGACTCACCCCAAAGGTCCGGGGAGCCAGGCAGCAGTAGCTAGTGGAACAAGGAGCAGAGCACGGGTCAGGAATGGCACAGTACTGGGAGGCTGAGCCACTTGCAGGAGCTTGGACACTGTAGCTCTGGCAAGGAGAAGGACACTGGACATAACACGTCTGGGTCTGGCAGGGAACTGGACATTTGACATAGGTCGTCTGGCATGGAGTTGGGCACTTCACATATGTCTGGCATGGAGTTGGACATTTCACATAGGTTGTCTGGCAGGGAGCTGGACACTTCACATATGTCTGGCATGGAGCTGGGCATTTCACATAAGTTTTAGGCTGGCAGGGAGCCAGACACTTCACATACGTTTGAGTCTGGCATGGAACTTGATACTTCACATAAGTTTGAGATGGATTTGGAGCTGGGCATTTCACATAGGTTTGAGTCTGGCATGGTGCAGGTCCCGTCACACAGACAGTCTTGGTCTGGGTTGGGGCTGGGCATTTCACAGAGGCACTTTGCACAGCCCCCAATCCTGAACCTTTCACACAAGATGGAGGAATCTGGGGCTGCTTCTGCTGGTCACACATCTTGTGGCTTTGCAAAACCTGAAAAGAAAGGTTTCATCAGAACCGTGAAACTGGAAGTCTCCCAGGGAAACCTGCAGCATCGCCATGGGATGGAGTGAGGTGTAAGTGGTAGCCTTTTTGAGAAGGTCACAGACACCTGGAGGCTGCACACCTGGCAGTAGAGTGGACTCAGAGTCAGGGATTCTAGGCTCCACTCTTGTGACTTTACCTGGCTATGTGGCTTCCAACAAGTCACTGATCTCCTCCGGGCCTCAGTTCCCACAAGGGGGGATGAAGGGCTTGAAAGAGTGATGTCTGTGTTTTTACCCAACTCCCCAAGCTTCCTTGCATCTCACTTCAGTGTCTGCATGTGAGTAATCCTTGGGAAATTGCTGTTCCCAGCTGATTTCCTGCTGCCACTGATTCTCCTCTGCCCGGCCAGAGTAACCAGGGAAGGCAAATATGTGTCAACAGACCCTGAGCCAACCTGACAAAGAGCAGAGGACAAGGGCAAATCTGAGCAAGTGTCCACCATCTGTTCCTTGGACCAGCTGAACCAATACTTCACTACTCAATACTTCAATACTCAACACTCGGTAGCACGTGGACCCAGGAGAGGGCTGCACAACTGCACTCACGGAGGGGATCAAGTTCTCTGAAATCCCTTCTCACGCAGGACCACCAGCTGCCCCTTCTCTCATTCCAGCTATCTCCACCAGCCTCTTTCAGCAGATGCCTCAGCACCCAGTCCTGGCCCCCGCTTCATCCTGCAGTTCTCCATCCCAACATCCCCATGGCTGTGTCTTGCCATACCCCATCCCCAGTATAGAGACTTACCCTCTCTGCTGACTGGAGCAAGACTGGAATAAGACAGCGATCTGAGGATCTGGCAGTTAGGGAGACTTTTTATAGGGCAGCAATGAAGCAATTTAATGGCATCTGAATGAAGCACCAGAGATCACGAGCACCAGATCACGAGGACGAGGGCTGGTGTTGCATTGGTGAGATTCCTCCCCAGTATGTCTGGCCCTTCAGTCAGAGGCAGGGCATGTCACTGCTTGACACTGAGTTTTCCCAAACACGAGATAAATGATACCTGTTGCCTTCTTCATGAAACAAGTCAGTCTTCTTTTTCTAGAAATTATGAATTATGCCTATGTGATCTGTCCCTAATAAAACTTTTTCTAGGTCACTTGGGTTTTTGAGGACTTGTCCATGATATGGCTAGATTCTCAATCTTTCATACACTGTGCCAAAAGTTCACTATGTCTTCCCAGCCTAAACTGAGTGTTTTTTCTGAGGCCTCCATGGTGGCTTCTGCTGGTCTGGGCTGCTGGACATGAAGAATTTGACTCAGTGGTCTCTGGCTCAATATAGAAGCAAGGCCTCCAAGAAAAGGTTTTTTCCATGGGCAATCATGTTATCCTATATTTATCTATAAATTGGGTAGATTTCTGACAATCGCAGACCCGGGCTCCATGTCTAGACCATCTCTCCTCAGCCCTCTCATGCTCTGTGGCCTCCCTGTCCTCATCTTCCTAGACCTCACCACCAGACCTTCTGTTGAATGCTTTTTGTGTACCAAACATGTCACAAGGCAGTCACATTTACAGACAGATGTAACTGAGACTCTGAAAGACTAAGGGAGTTACCCATCACCACAAAGCAAGTTAGCAGGAAAGCTTGAATTCAGTGCGGTTAGCCTCCTCTCACAGACCATGATCTTTGTCACTATAGCATGTTGCCTTTTACCTCTGGACATAGCATTGTCCTTGAATCCCTGCTCTGCTCCTTTCCCCAGGGCAGTAGATGCAGAAAGAGAGGTGGGGATAGTATCTATTGAGCACTTACCAGGTGCTGACTACTGTCTAGCCTCTTTACCTGTGTTTTTTATTTGATCTTTGCAATAACCTGTGAGATAGGATATGTTCGCCCCAATTTAAAGAAGAGAAAAAGGAGATTTAGAGGTCTTTCTCATCAAGGCCATCCTGTCAGCAGGTAGTAGAATATCATTTGACCCTAGCCTGTCTCATTCCAGAGCCCATGCCCTTCCCACTGAATCATGTTAAGCTGCCAACTGTAGAAGGTTGCCTTGAGCCTGAGCCTGGCACTGGTTCAAATGTCACTCCCTCAGATCAGCCAGTCCAGGCCCCATAATGGCCATTGTGGCCTCTCAGGTAGAAGATGCTCCTGTATTTATCCATAATGGATCCCCACATCCTTCTGGACCCATAAGCCCTTAGGATTCCAAATTTCCCCTGCCCCAAGCCAGGTTGTGCAAGGTCTGCCCATGAACGATTTGGTTTTCTTTTAATCTCCCTAACTGTACCAGTCTCTGGTAGCCACCATTCTACTCTCTATTTCTATAGGATCAACCTTTTTAGATTTCACATATGAGTGAGATCATGCACGATGTGTCTTACTGTGCCTGGTTTATCACACTTGACATAATATTATTTAGGTTCATCCATGCCATTGCAAATGACAGGATTTCCTTCTTTTTTATAGGTGAATGGTATTCAGTTGTACATATATACTACATTTTCTTTTTCCATTTATCCACTGATAGATACTTAGGTTGATTTCATATCTTAGCTGTTGTGAATAGAACTGCAGCAAACATGGAAGTGCAGATGTCTCTTCAGCATATTGACTTCATTTCCTTTGGGTATACAGCCAGAAGTGGAACTGTTGGATCATGGTAGTCTTCAGTCTTGGAAAGTGTCCTCTTTTTAATATTGTAGGGAACCTTCAGACTGTTTTCCATAATGACTGTACTAACTTACACTTCCACCAACAGTGTGCAAATGTTGCCTTTTCTCCACATCCTTGATGACACTTGTTATCTTTTGTCTTTTTCTTAATGGTCATTCTAACAGGAGGGAGGTGATACTCCAATGAGGTTTTGTCTGCATTTCCCTGATCATTTTTTCACAAAACTGTTAGCCATTTGTATGTCTTCTTTTGAGATATGTCTTTCAGGTCCCTTGCCCTTTTTAAAATCAGGTCATTTGTTTTCTTGCTATTAAGTTGTTTGAGTCTCTTATGTACTTTGGATATCAATTCCTTATCAGATGTACAGTTTGCAAATGTTTTCTCCTGTTCTGTAGGTTGCCTCTTCACTCTGTTGATTGTTTCTTTTTGCAGGACAGAAGCATTTAGTTTGATATAATCCCACTTGTCTATTTTTGCTTTTGTTGCCTGTGATTTTGAGGCCATATCCAAAAATCATTGCCCAGACCAATGTAATGGAGATTTTTCACTATGTTTTCTTCTAGTAGTTTCATAGTTTTAAATCTTAAATTTAAGTCTTTAATACATTTTGAGTTGATTTTTGTATATGGTGTAAGATAAGGGTCTAATTTCTTTCTTCTGCATAGAGGTAACTGATTTTCGCAACACCATTTATTGAAGAAACTGTTCTTTCCCCATCATGTGTTCTTGGCATCTTTGTCAGAAATCAGTTGGCTGTAAATGTGTGGATTTATTTCTGGGTTCTCTATTCTGTTCTGTTGGTTTGTGTGTCTGTTTTTATGCCAGTACCATGCTGTTTGGGTTACGATATCTTTGTAATATGTTTTGAAGTCAGGTAGTGTGATACCTCCCTGCTCCTGAACAATTTGGAGGAACAAGAAGGGGAGGTTCTTCCTCAGTCTTGGAAAGTGCCCTGTTTTCTCCCTGCCTCTAATGGGTTTGTCACACTCATACCTCCATCTGTGAAGCCCACCAATTCTTCTCTCCAAGGGGAAGAGAGAGAGCAAGGAGAGATATGGTTCTAGGCCATTTCATCCCACTCTCCTAAGTGTCCTGAATTGATACCCAGGCATGATGTTACTGAGGGAAGGAAAAAGAAAAAATGTCTTATTGGCATTCACATGGATAGCTCATCAAATTTAGTCCTCACAGTAGTGTCTCAAACAAACAAACAAATAAATAACTTGTCCAGGCTCACATAGCTAGAAGTGTTAGAGCCAGAATTTAAACCCAAGTATAAGAGACTTCAAATTTTATTGTTTATCCATCACAATGCACTGCTTCTGGTGTTAAAATCCATGATATTTTAGGAACCATACCTTTCAGCCATCCAACAGGCAGTCATTAAAAAGCTTTCTATATTTTTTCCTTCCTTTTTTTATTGAAGCATAATTGGTTATACATATTTGTGGGGTACAAAGTTGATTGTCAATAATCGTGTACAATATGTGATGGTCAAATCAGGATAGTTAGCTTATTCATCATTACAATACATAATCATTCTTTGTGTCTGTTAACCAATTTCTCATTAATTTCCCAATAAGCCCCTTCCCTCTCCCCCTTCCCCCTGTCCACTCCTAGTAACCTCAGTTCTGTTCTCCATATTATATGTAGGATGGGACAGCACCACTTTACAGGAAAGAAAATGCCCCAGAAGGCCAGCCATTTTAGGGCATGTCGACAAAAGAGAGAGACATTTCAAGACATGAGTAGGGAATCCTACTGGTCTTTAAAACATCCTGAACTCTTGTCCTGATCCTGCCACTGCCCCACCCTCTTATTCCACAGTGCTCTGCTGTCTCTAGGCCTCTTCTTTTCCACTACAAGGTAAAGAGTTTAGATGAAGCCCCTCTGGTTATGATATTCTATGAATATCAGGGCCTGTTCCACAAGGAAATGTATAGCTCCACAACCTAGCTGTCCATGGAGTTATTCCTACAAGACTGTAAGTTTCAAGAGTTGGAAACTGTGGGCACATTCACTGTGTATCATCACAGGACCTGGGAAACACTGACTAAACACATGAAGGAATGAATGAATGAATGAGGATGCCTTACACTGACGGTGCAGCCCAGACTGACCTCCCTGCTCCATGGTGTGATTGCCTATCTGTGCATCTCATGCCATCGGTGAGCTCTGATTGGCTCACTTCCTGCTCCATGGAGTCAGGCCCTCACTAATGAGTCTGACATCTGCAGGCAGCACTGACATCCCTGGTGAGAGATACTGCATCCACGTGCCACCAAAACAGGTGGGTGGGTTGTGCC